CCTGAAGCTGGAGTTATGGACAGTTGTTAGCTGCCATGTGAGTGCTGGGATTTGAACCTGGGTCTTCTGCAAGAACAGCCAGTGCTCTTAACCACTGAGTCATCTCTCCAGGCCCTATTATTATCTTTTTGAGACAGGGTCTCCCTGTAGCCCCAGCTGGCCTGGAACTTGCTATGTAGACCAGGCTAGCCTTGAACTCACAGAGATCCACCTGCCTCTGCCTCCCAAGTGCTGGGATTAATGGTATGTGCCACTATGCCTGGCTTTTTAAAATTATTTTTATTTTATGTTATGAGTATATTGTCTGCAAGTATGTGATTCTTGTCATGCAATGCCCATGGAGGCCAGAAGAGGGCATCAGATTCCCTGGAACTGGAGTTATGGATGGTTGTTAACTTACATGCGGGTGCTGGGACTCTGCAAAGAGCAGCCAGTGCTCTAACGCTGAGCCATCTCTCCAGCCCCCTATAGTTATTCTTAACTCCTAGTAGATCACCTGTTCCCCAAGAAAGCATCACCAAAGTTATTTTAAAATTTTAGTGTGTGTGTGTGTGTGTGTGTGTGTAGGTGTGTAGGTCAGAGGACAACTTGTGAGAGTTCTTTTACCAAATAGATCCTGGGAATCAAACTCCGGTCATCAGGCTTGGTATCATGCACCTTTACCTGCTGGGCATTCTCACAGTCCCCCAACCAAATTCTTTAATTCCTGATGGAAATATAAATTTAAGCTACTATGTGAGAGTTGAGATATAATAAATTGGTATTTTTGTTTGTTTGTTTGTTTGTTTGTTTGTTATTTTCTGACAGGGTCTCCCTAGTCACAGCCTGCCTGGCAGTCACGATGTGAACCAAGGTGGCCTCAGTCTTGCAGAGATCCACCTGCCTCTGCCTCTGGAGGATTAAAGGCATGTGACACAATGCCAAGCGTGAGGTATAATAAATTATTTTATTTGTTTTTTTTTTTGAGGTATGGTCTCCCTGTAGCCACAGCTGGCCTGGAACTCACTATGTAGACCAGGCTGGCCTCAAACTCGCAGAGATCTGCCTGCCTCTGCCTCCCATGCTGGGATTAAAGGCATGCACCAACACACCTGACGATATAATAAATTATTAAACATGCTTTGAGTTCACAGTCTATGTCAAACACTATGCCAAATACTTTGAGTGATGCCAGAAAAAAAATGAGTTTCTGACTTGGCCTTCCTTCCTTCCTTCCTTCCTTCCTTCCTTCCTTCCTTCCTTCCTTCTTCCCTCATCCCTCACTCTTCATCTTCCTTTCTGTTTTTCTTTCGAGTCAGGGTTTTGTTCGTTTGTTTTGAGACAGTCTCACTGTAATCCTGGCTGGCCTGGAACTCCCTATGAAGACCAGGTTGGCCTAAAACCTACAGAGATCCACCTGCCTTTGCTTCCCAAATGCTGGGATAAAAGGTATGTGCTACCACACCTGGAAAATCAGGGTCTCTTGTAGCCCAGATTGGCCTCAAACCTACTATGTAGTTGAAGCTAGCCTTGTACTCCTGTTCCTCCAACCTCTATCTCCCAAGTGATGGGATTCCAGGTGTGCACCACTATGCCCAGCTCTGATTTGGTTTTTCTTCAAGAAATTTCAATTTGGTTGAGAAGAACCAGAATTAAATAACATGGGATGTTGCAAGGCAGAAAAGAAAAAATGCTGGATGAATAGAATACTATTAAACTTTGAAAATTCAGAGGAGGGGAAATTGATTGGGTTTTTAAAAAGTGTTAGGGAGTTGTTTCAATTACCATTGCTGCATAACAACTCCAAATGTAGATACTTAAAGCACAATGAAACTTTTATCATCTTTTAGGGTTCCTGTGGTACAGGAACTTGGGAAAGGCTAAAGCTGGGCAGCTCCCACTCATGATCCCTCACATGGTTATGATCAGACAGTGGCTGGAGCTGGAGAAGCTGGGGCTGGCTGAGTGTACCTCATCATCATGGCTTTTTATCTTCAAAAAAATTAGTTATGGTTATTTTATGAGTATTTTTCCTACATGTATGTAAATGCAACATGTGTGCAATGCCCAAGGAGTCCAGAAGAGGGCATCAGATCCACTGGAACTGGAGTTATAGGCCATTGTGAGTGTCATGCGGTGGGAATCGAAACTGGGTCTTCTGCAAGAGCAGCCAGTGCTCTTAGCTGCTGAGCCATCTCTCCAGCCCCACGGCTTCTCATCACATCTCAATGCTTCTTCATGAGCTCTCTCCTATAGACTAGTTTGGGTTTTTTTTTCAGGTTATTTGGAGAGAGTCACAAATCTCATGTTGGATTCTTCAGAGAGCAGTATCCAAGTGGAAACAATATTCAGGACATTTATTGTTGAGTAGTAGTGGACCAATCTGTGGAAGACAGGAGAAAGAAGATGAAGTAAGCAGAGGAAGAATGGCAATGCAGTCCTAACAAAGGCCTTGGACAAGGGTGCTCTGAAGCTGGGATGACCCTTCAGAGTTTATGTAAGTTCTGGCAAAATGGCAGGTTGGGCCTTTACAAATTGGAGTTGACCAATCAGTATATGTGGACTTCCCCTAGAAGGAGGTGTAACCTTGAGCAAGGTAATTTCCTTCAGTCAAGGCAATCCCCTACAAGGGCTGTGGCCTGGTAGCATGATCTTCTAGCTATACTCCCAGTAACTAGAGAAGTAAGGTCTTGATTCCTGAAGGAGACTCTGGATGGCATATCCCATGGCACAGCCACAGGATCTGTGGCTTTCAGTAGAGGGACTCAACTACCTTGGAAGGACCTGGCAGAGAGGAATCTACAGGCATAAACATCCTAACCTCATTCTCCTGAATTTTGACACAGTCCTTATGGGTTTGGAGTAACAGAACAGGTGGAAGATACAGACAGCATTCAAGACACAAGCAAGATAGTGAGTGGTTGAAGAGCTTAGGCTTTGAATGTTAAAACATGTGGAGTTAAAAATTTGTGTGTGTGTGTGTGTGTGTGTGTGTGTGTGTGTCTTTTTTTGAGACAGGGTCTTCTTGTAGCCCCAGACTGCCTGGAACTCACTATGGAGACCAGGCTGGCTTCAACCTCACAGAGATCCACCTGCCTCAGCCTCCCAAGTGCTGGGACTAAAGGTATGAGCCACTGTGCCTAGCTCTCCCTGACTTTTTTTTTTTTTTTTGGCTTTTTTGAGACAGGGTCTTCTGTAGCTCCAGCTGGCCTTGAACTCATAGAGATCTAGCTACCTCTGCCTTCTGAGTGCTGAGATTAAAGGCATGCATCAACATGCCTGGCTTCCCTGGCTTCAGCTGTCCTGGAACTCACTATGTAGATCAGGCTGGCCTTGAACTCACAGAGATCCGCCTGCCTCTGCCTCCTGAGTGCTGGGATCAAAGGCGTGTGCCACCACACTCGGCTTCCCTGGCTTTTTAAAAAAAGATTTTATTTATTCTTATTTTATGTGTATGAGTGTTCTGTCTGCATTTATGTACGTGCACCAAGTACATGCAATGCCCACAGAGGCCAGAAGAGGGCATCGATTTCCTGAAACTGGAGTTACTGCTAGTTGTGAGCCCAACCTGGGACCTCTGCAAGAGAAGTGCTCTTAACTACTGAGCCATCTCTCCAGCTCCTTCCCTGACTGCTGTTCTTTGGGTTGTTTCCATATCATCCTGACTTCCTTTAGTATTGTTAGCATTAAGGCAACCAAAACCCAACTAACTTTTCAAATGTCCTTCAGAGGCACCATTTTATTACTCATATTATTTACTATTAAATGTAAGCCTATTTGTGTATCTCTGTACCCCATTGGGGGATGGTGTGTGTGTGTGTGCATGTATGTGTTGTGTAGTGGTGAGGAGTCTGTTGGAAAGCCAAAGCTCTCTAACCCGAGAAGCTGGAAATGAGCATATAGTCATTTCTGGGAGTCAGGGACTTATCCACTTCCTCCAATTGTCTGGAATTTCTTTGGATAATTATCCTAGGAACAGTATAAGAGAACGGCAGAATTTAACAAAAACTAAAACAAGTCAGAGCTTTAAGACAAGAACTTAAAAAATAATTCTTATCTTACATTTCACATAGCTTTTTTTTTTTTTGAAGCAGGGTCTCCCTGTAACCCCAGCTGTCCTGGAACTCACTATGTAGACCAAGCTGGCCCTGAACTCACAGAGATCTGCCTGCTTCTGCCTCCCAAGTACTGGGACTACGGGCGTGCGCCACTACGCCCAGCTAACATAGCTTTTTAAAAGCACATTTGAAGCACAGATTTCTGTAGAAACTAACCAAAGGGAAATTGGGAAGGAGAGCCCTTGTTTCCGCGAGGATTGTGCTTTCAGGCCAGGTAGCTTTTCCTCCAAGGTCTCGACTTTTACTAATTGCAACGACCTCGGCATCAATTCCTCTACGGCAGTTTTATTTAAAGGTTTCTACCTTACATGCTTCTCTCAACTGCTTTCAGCATCGTTCAGTCTTTATAGTGGAAGTTAAAATCTCTTTTTTATCCTGGCTCTGGTTCTAAACAGTCAGGGCCAGGACCCTGGGCAGTGCCACGGAGACAGCTTCTAGTGCGATGCGCACGCTGCTGCTATCTTAATCTGCAAAGAAGGCTGTTTTAAGACCACCCAAAGCTCGGGAGTGCGGCGTGGGGAATTCCCAGCTTCACAACCCCCGCGGGCCAAGACGCTTTTCCCTTCCTTAAACACTAAAACCAGAAAAAAGGACAACAACAAAAACCCAAACAAAAACAAATCTAACAGGCACCAAACCAACCCAGAGCCTGGGGAAAGCGCGCCAATCACACAAAGAAAAGGAGGGGGGCTACTGGGATTCAAAATGCTTTCCCCGGGACGTAAGTCCTCCTGAACCTATCGGAGGTAACTGCGCGCTTGTTCGGAGCCAATAGACACAGAGTATCTGGTCCAGGTCCGCCCTAAAGACAGATAGACATTTCCCTTGCCCGATGGCATAGTGCGATGCTGAAAAACCAACCAATACCTTCGGGAGGTGGGTGGAGTGTAGGCCAGGGGGTTGGCGGTACCGTGTCATGGAGGCTCAGTCTCCGAGCAGCCATTGAAGGGGAAGGAACTGCGGGCGTGTGAGTGTTTGTGTGTGCGTGCTTTTGTGTGTGTGTGTGTGTGTGTGTGTGTGTGCGCGCGCGCGCGCGCGGGTGTGCGGACACGGAGGTGGGGGCAGCCGAGTTCGAGTCCCAACTCACTGGACTCCATTTGCTATTCTTTTCTTTCTTCACACCTTTGGTGGTAGTGGGCGTTTGTATTTGTGTTTTTTTTTTTTCATTCATTTCCCAATCTTAAAAAAAAATTCGGGTTGAGGGGAGTGGGAAAGGCAGGAAGGGGGAAAGGAGCATAGTAGAAGAGCAGGAGGAGGACATGGAGATGAAGAAGAAGATTAACCTGGAGTTAAAGAACAGAGCCCCGGAGGAGGTGAGATGACTCAGCCCCCGATCCCTTCCCCTCCAGCCCTGTATTGTGAGGGCTGGCTGTCTGGGGGTCCGCCTGGGTGCGTGGGGAGGGCTGGGGCATGAACCCTCACTTTAGGGTGGGGGCTGGGGGCTGTTTATTTTAAGTTTTAAATCACCAGGATCTCGTGCTTAAAATGGCGAAGGGCTTAAGTTTCTAGGGGCGTTTTTTGTGTGTGCGCGGGGGCTCAGCCCTCGGCTTCCCTGGCAGCCCGGCGTCCCAGCCTCGCGGGGGCGGGCAGCGGGCGGCCGGAACTCTGAGCTCCGCGCCATCCTGTCGGGTGGGCGGCGTGGGCGCGACCCCCGGGTCCCCTTGCCACCCGAGAAGTTCGAGCAACTTTTGCGCTGAGCTGCCAAGTCGGCACGGCGAGGACGGTGGGCGTCCCGGGGCTCGGGCCGACCCGGCGCTCCGCCGGCACCCCCTCCTCAGCCGCCGAATCTGGGTCAGCGGCGCCGGCTCGGACTACGGCCGTGTCCCGGCGACCCGAGGCGGGGAGGGGACGTGCGGCGTGGTCCGCTTCTTCCCCTGCCGTGTTGTCGTGCTCGGTCAGTCGTGCGGCTGCGGCCGCACCTCGGAACGCGTTCCTCGGAGCCGGCTGCGCACCGCCGAGCCCGGGCTCGGGTGTTCCGGGGTACCGAGGTGCAGCCGGCGGCCCGGGTATGCTGGTGTCGGGCGCTGTCGCCCCACTTAAAGAGTCCGGGCTGGGAGGGGCCGCGGGGCGGGTCGCGGTCAACTTCCCCGGGGTCGGCCGGGAGGCGTTGCCGGCGCCTGGCGGTCGCGACCGAACCCCGCCCTCCCCGCGGCCACAGACCCTCGTTTCCTCAGCGTTCCCGCCGTGCGTGGGTTCCCGCCGCGCGTGGTTTCCTCCATCCAGCCGCCGGGATTCAGCACTTGGGGTCGCCCAGGTCAGCGATAGAGTCTTCCTGATTTGCAGTCCCTGAAATGAGCAGTTTGGAATTTAGGGATATGTACTTTAGACTGGGGTCCTATGAGCGAAGAGGATGGGGAGGGGCTGTTCCTCCTTGAAATTAGTGTGCAGAGTGCTGAGGATTTCTGTATTTTATTTTTTGTTTTTGCCTGTTTCCCTGAAACTGGAGCAGAGAAGGAAACGTTGCTTTAAGGCTTATCTCAGAACTAGAAGTTTTCTAGAGCTTAATAGAGGCTTCAAGAAAAACTCATATTTGAAAAGCAGCCTGTCAGCTGGGAGGTGACAGATGCCTGTAATTTCCAGCCCCTGGGAGTCCGTGGTAGGGGGATATAACAAGTTCAAGCCAGCCCTGAGCTTACACAGTAAGTTCCAGGCCAGCCTGGGCCACAGAATGGGGGACTTTGTGTCAAACCAAATAAGACAAATGATCCCTGGGTGTGGTGGGGCACGCCATTAATCCATGTACCCGAGAAGCAGAGGTAGAAGGATTTCTGAGATCAAGTCCAGCCTGGTCTACATGGTAATTTCCAGGCCATCTGGGACTGCAGGGAGACCCTGTCTCAAAAAAGCCAAAAACAAACAAATAAAACAAGCAGTTTCTCAGAAACATACCTGTCTTGGGGTGCAAAAATGGACTTCTCCCCATTCTCTTGCCTCCAGTTTGGAGGACTACATGGCTATACCGTCTTGCAAGCCCGGTGTGCTGTAGTAACGGTCTTGTTTGTATAGACAGTTTATAAAGCACTTTTCAAGTGTATTTGTTTCTCCTTGGGGAAACTTGCAAGGTGAATTGTATTGTTCTAAAATCCAAATTAGCAAACTGGATCCAAATCACTCTAAGTAGTGGAGAGATTGATTCTAGTGGAAGAACTGGTTTTCTGACACCAAATCTAGACGCCCTCTTGCAGCTCAGCTAAGAGAATCAGAACACTTAAGAGTCACTGCAGTCCTGCCACATACTAATGGTGTAACCTCATGCAAGTATTCTTGCTTTCTGGACCTTGGCTTTCAGTTCTAAAAGGAAGATCATCCTGCCATCCCTGTCCATTGATATAATTATGTCAAACTCAAGCTTGTAGTAGAGAAGATGGTGTTCACTGTTGCTTATTTTAGCCTTTAAATAAGCTTTTTTGCATTAGGGGTAGGGAACCATGGTTTTGCTGTAAGTCCATCTAGGTGCATCCCAGTAAGTTTTCTTACTACAACTCTGATCTAATAGCAAATCCAGTTCCTTCTCCAAGAGTGGGAAAGCTCCTAGAACTGCTTCCAGAGTAGCAGGGAGAAGTAACGTTTTGTCATGGGCTTACTGTTTTGTGTGATACTGTTTGCCCTCAATAACACCCCAAAGGTGGGTTGTTCCAAAAGATTTCTGACATTACTTCATAATATAAAAGCAGTAGCAATTATCAACAAAAACGAGGAAGCTTAAACTGAAAACAAAACAAAACAATAAAATAGTTACTCTTTTCTCCCTCTCCTTTTTAGAGTAGCTCACTTGAGTCTTTTTCCAGTAGCCCAGGGGTCCCTTCCCTGTGTAAATGTACACCAAGATAGCAATGATCCTGCTTATCAGGGTCCAAAACATGTTTCACATAGGACCTTTCTCAAAGTTTTAGTTTTTATGCCTTAGTGATTTGAAGTAGGCATTGAACTTGTTAGTCTAAGTTTAGACGTAAAGGATTGATTATAGTGATGACTAGATTATATGTCAGGGTTTTTTAGACTTATTTTTATTTTTTAATGTGTGAGTGGTTTACCTGCATATGTGTAAATGCACATGTGCATGCAATGTCCAGGGTGGCCATTAGAGGTAGTCAGATCCATTGGAGTTTTAGACCATTGTTAGCAGCCATGTGGGTCCTCTGCAAGAGCAGCCAGTGCTCTTAACCCCTGAGCCATCTCTCCAGCCCCATATATAAGTTTTTTAAAAAAAATTATTTTAGGGCTGGAGAGATGGCTCAGGGGTTAAGAACACTGAATGTTCTCGTAGAAGACCCGGGTTCAAATCCTAGCATCCA